CGCCGCCCTGCGGCCCGCGGCGGGCGGGCCAGCTCCGGGTCTCACATCGGAGGTGCCCGGAGGCAGCGGGGCATGCGGCGTGCGCTCTTCCCGCAACGCTTCTCTCCGTTACTGCGTTCCTCAGACCCTGCTTCTCCATTTCCCCTTGGTCTTCTTGTTTGTCTCCTTCTCCAGGCAGTTGCCTGAAGAACACCGTAGCTAGGCAAACGCACAGGCAAGGCCTCGGCCTGCCTCTTTTCAGAGCTCAGCAAGGTGCGTGTAGTGACCAAAACAGGAGCCCGATGTCACTCCATCCCCTTCTGCTGCAACAAAAGCTTAACCCTGGCACAGGCTCTTGTCACCCTACTGTGTTACAATCACTTCCCAATACCCCACAGTCTGAGAAAAACTCCTACCACAGGCAGGCTGGAGGTACATGGTGCCAGCAGACTGCTCCTGTCAATCTGTTCCTACCTTTCCCTCTTGCCCACCAGAAAGCAGTAAGGGGAAGGAGAGGCTGCCTTTACTGCATGCTCTGCTGGCTTCCTGTAGCAAGGAGGGGACACGACAGGGCACAATTAGTGCGGCTGGTCCTTTTAGGGAACGAGTACAGAAGTTAAGCAGGAGCATCTTTGAAACAAAGGAGCTGACAGCATTTTGCTGTCCTAACAACTTCCAGGTCTGGCAATTCTAAAGCAATGCTCTCAAACACTGGAAAGCAAAATAGAGAGTTACCCTGAAGGTCTTCATACTTTATCTCCAGCACTACTGCTGAGAAACCTTTGGGTGTTTGGGAAGTTCACTGGTGCTGGCCTACTTGTTGCCAGCAATAAAGCAGCAAGATGGTCCTTCCTTAGGAAATGGTGATCAAAGCCACCGAGCTGGAGGGCAGTTGTTTATATCTGAACCCTTTCCTAAGTTACAACGGCTTCTACTACTACCCTTTGCCCTCTGCAGTCGCTAACCGCCTTGGAACTTCCTTTTGTGATCCTTCTCACTGTAAACGGCACTGCAGTGTAGGCCCTAGTGTCCCTGTTATGAGAAAGAAGTATTTGCTAATGGGTTTATAACTTAAGAACCTCAGCTGAAATAAGAAACTATCTTTGACAGTGGAGTGTTTTGTTCACAAGCATTTTCATGGGGAAAAGGAAAAAATAATTAAAAAACTACCTACCCTGGTAAAGTTAAAATGCACAGTTAGATACATGTAGTAACAATTTCCTTTGACTTATCTGTGTATTTAGAAGATGACCTACAAAAATATATTGTCAAAGAACGGTTGGGTGGGGAAAAGAATTCTGCAGAAAGTGTTATAAAGCAAACTCCCTTCTCTAAAGAAGAAATTATTATAATTTGAGTTGATTACAGACTTAGTATCTGCTTACTCAATCCAAAGCTTTGTACAGTAAGCAGTAACTGATCTAAAATTAGTCCCCAAACCCCAGACTCCCAAACTTACAACAAGGTATTACTAAGTTACTGACAACCTTTTCACTGCCACTATATTTTGGTATCTGCTTCTAACAAAGCAAGCCTGTGGATACACACATATAAAACACCTTACATTTTATATAGTATGGGACTTACTTCCTCCTATTTAACATTCTGAAAGCTTTTCTATTTGTTAAATATTCTCTGTCCTTTGGAGACTTCACAACACATTTTAAATTAAATATTCTTATTATGCCAATGTTTGTTCTGAAAAGTGGGACATCTACAGTAACTAAGCTGTTCCACAGTGCTTTATCTAAGTATCTCAATTACTCATTTCATCAGATGGAAACCTAGCCAAAGCAAACAAGATTTTAATTTATTCTCCATTGTTGAAATCACAGATTTTTCACAAGTGAAATTTTACTCTATTTCATATACACTGAAAACTACAGTAAGTACAGTATTAAAAAGCAGGAAAGATGTAAGCCGTTGCAAAATCTTTGCAATATATTTTACAATACCTATGCCACATCACTCCTTTTTGATTCAAGAGGCTAATTCTTGACTATAAAATTTTTCATAAAATTCCAAGTCTTTTACGTTTAAGGATGGTTTTACAGTCCTCAATGATTTTACAAAATGCTCGTGTTTTACAGCAGTTGCTTCAAGTCCATTCTCCTGCAGTGCCAACAAAGCAGCCTTCAAAAAGAAGAAGAAAAAAGAAACAACTTGAAATCTTATATTTTAAGTTGCAAAGAAGTTATTGTCAGTATTCTAAAATATTTTACATGAAACAAAATTTTAGGTAAAGCATCTGAAAACAGCATTGTATAATTTATGGTTATTTAACAATAGATAAACATCAAATAAGATTACTATAACTTTTTCATTCACTTCTTTCTCTAGATTAGACAATACATCCTTGATCACTTATATACTTGGATTTTCTTCCTAGTCTTCTCTCTTTTATACAACTTATTTCAAATACTTACGGATTTCTCTTCTCAATTTTTTTCTCTCTAGCCTTGACAGTATGTGCTAGTTTCAGCTAAAAATGCTGCAGTTGCTTGCAGTACACAGAATACAATTCATCTAGGTGTGAGCTTGGATTAGAAAGGGCAATGTGAAACAAAGGGTAGTCCAATTCCTTAACTTCTTGTAAATTATCACAGAAAGCTTCTATTCTTATTTGGCTTTTTTATTTAAAGAATTAACCCATGTTCAGTTCTTCTGTTCTACTCAGTCTGTTTATATTTGCATTACAAACTGCGAAAGAATCTGTACTACAGATGGCTTGGTAACATCTATGAGTTAGCTCTCTCCTTCCATTGAAAGGTTTCATTTACAGTTTGTTTCACAGATTAACCATCAATATTTTCTTACCTCCTTGCACAGATTCTCAATATCGGCTCCAGAGAAGAAGTGTGTCAGGACTGCCACATCTTGTAATGACACGTCAGTATCTAATGGAATTTTTTCTGTGCAGATTTTTAAAATGGAAAGCCTTCCCTGTAAATTGGTGCATATTATACAAGAAAACAAAACCAAACAAACCAGTAATTAATCCCTCTCCAAAGCAGTACCAAATTTGAAATAAGAACTAAGGAAAATCCAGAAGAGCACCAAAACCAAAACTACACACTTTTGGTGGAAGAGTGAATAAAATGCTATTAATGGAGATGATAATTACTCTTACGGTTATGGTTATCTCATATATTAGTCTGTTATTCACAGTTACTCGTTACTTCATGAAAACACAGTATTTTAGACTGAAGAGTCCATATTTGGCCTGCTTTGGATCAACTCCTTTTTGGGGGGAAGCTCAGGACAAGCAGCCACACTACCCTTGGGAACAGGGCACAAGAATGATTTGAAGCAAGGACAGACAACTTGTTACAGTACTCCTAAACTGCAGCTTGATTTTGTAAATACAGAATTATTCCACATTTTGTCTGTTTTCTATATGCTATAGTATAACTACATATACCAGTTAAAGTGTTACTGGTGTTTAAATTACAGATGTAATTATTCCTTTCTAGACTTCTTCATTGTACCTTGAGTCTGGTAACTGACTTTCAGTGAATCAACCATCAATTATTGAATGCATTATAGGAATATGCCCCCTTTGCTCTTAAAGTAAAGTATGCTGGCAATTAATACCTCTCCTTTTAAAGCCACGTATGGATTTGTAATACATCACCTTCAGATCCGGAGGTGGAATATAGATCATCTTGTCTAGCCTTCCAGGACGCAATAAGGCATCATCCAACACATCTGGTCTATTTGTTGCAGCAACTACCACAAAATCTTTGTTCAAAGTTTCCTGACACTCTAGCTGAGTAAGAGATGATATAAACAAATTAGCGCAACATGGTTAAGATAGGTATTATCTAAAGATATTAGTTAACTACTAATGAGAAAAGGGGAAAGGCAAAAAGATTATGTATCTTTACATGTAGTTATATTCCTTTCAATATTAATATTTTTTCTCTTAAGGTAAAAAAATGCCTTGGCGCAGGCCAGATCAGGTGACAGGGAAGAAATATAGTTAGTATCTGCCTTGACAATAAATATAGACTTTTCTTTGGCCAGATTGTAACAAAGACCTTTTATATGAAAAATTCAGTATCTTATAATTCCGAAACAGTTTTCTTCAATTTTCCCCCAGAGAGTATCATAATATTAAGACAGAAATTTAAATACAGAAAAGCTAATTATTAAATGTTGTGAACAATTCACTGAAAAGTCCAGCTGCAACTTTTTGTTTAAATAAGTAACTGATCATAACTGTACTGGTTTTGTATAAAGTATGTATGAGAAAGCACTGCAAATGAAGTAGGGGAAATGCTTATAAAAAGTAAGTTCAGGAAGGAACCTGTGTAATAGTAAAAATAGCACAATTAGTCTAAAAAATTACCTTAGTGTCAAGCAAGAGTTTTTTTGTGACAGAAGATGAACACCAACTAGCAATGCTCATTAGCCTGTGTAGATATTTTGTTCAAACAAAGTCCCATTGAGGAACAGTGTATGTAAAAACAGTTAGCAGCCTATATAGGGTTGTGCTGCTTTTGGCTGGGGTAGAGCTAATTTTCTTCATAGTAGCTAGTATGGGGCTATGTTTTGGATTTGTGTTGGAAACAGTGTTGGTAATACAGGGATGTTTTCGTCATTGCTGAGCAGTGCTCACACAGTGTCAAGGCCTTTTCTGCTTCTCACCCCACCCCACCAGCGAGTAGGCTCTGGGTGCACAAGAAGAAGCTGGGAGGGGACACAGCTGGGACAGCTGACCCCAACTGACCAAAGGGATATCCCATACCATATGACGTCATGCTCAGTATCTAAAGCTGCAAGGAGGAGGAGAAAGGGAGGAGCGTTCGGAGTTACAGCATTTGTCTTCCCAAGTAACTGTTATACATGATGGAGCCCTGCTTTCCTGGAGATGGCTGAACACCTGCCTGCTGATGGGAAGTGGTGAATGAATCCCTTGTTTTGCTTTGCTTGTGTGTGTGGCTTTTGCTTTACCTATTAAACTGTC